CTGCCACTGCCTCGTACGCAGTCCTTACTGCCAGATGCCTTATCAAAGGACTGTAATTAACTGATTTAGAAAAGGCACCAAAATATACTGACCTTGTAAATTCAAGGAATGTCCAGTTTCCATAGGCGAGTCAACAGCCTTTCCAACTCCAACAATTGTGTTGATAATGCTGCATGTTCTAGAAACAGTTGCTTTCATGGCCACACAATGAAAGCTGACTAAAATATATAAAGCTGCTTCTTGCATCACAAATTTAAACCTCATGTTTTCCCGATCGCACATTACAACCTCTATGGCAGTAGATAAAGTTGATCAGGAAAACCATTTTGAGCTTAGATCTTCAGGTCCAGTTCCGTTGGGGGAAGAGAAGGCAGGAGGGGCCAGATGGGAAAAATAATGTTTTCTGTATTAAGAGAGTGGAGAATAGGTCGAAGGTGGTGGACATGCAGAGAAATGCCCAACCATACACAAGAGGGGCACCTCGGAAGTATGTGAGCTCGGCAATCCTCGCACTGAGGTCCTGAGTGAGTCAGCTACAGGAGGGAGATTGGCCGGACCGCAGGTAGGCGCTGGTGAGCCTAGATGTACAAACCACCGTGAAAGGTTTAGCATTGACGCGCATAATATAAATGTATTGCTATCCTATAAGCCTATACAGTTAGAGAAATATAATTATATTGTTTCAAGGTCAATTACAAAAATATATTTGCATCTGCGAGCAAAAGCTGCCATATTTGTTCAGTTTTTAGTTTAGCTTAGTTTATTTGGTGAGGATAATAGGCAATACCTTTGAAAACCCTATTGATCACCTGTACAAGCACCTATAAAAATTTACCACTACTAACATAGTATTGGCAAACATTGGGTAGCATTGTTTTTTACAATATATATCTGGTTGTTAGAATTCAGACTTGAAGTGAAGAGAGGGGACGCATGTAATTATCCAAGCATTATTTCTACATCTGAAGGGAAGTGGCCTCCACGACTGACTGTGGAAGGTTGTTCCAGTGTTGTATGGCACGTTGCATGAAGAATTCAGAGCGGAGGTTTAGCTTTGACATCTTCGTGGGCAGCTTCGTTGTATGCCCACGGAGATGAGGCGAGAGGTGCTACTGAAACATGTCCTAAAAGCGTAATCCTTTCTTAAGACCGTTTATTATCTTGTAATCTAAGATAAGATCCCCTCTTTGTTGCCTGTAATGCAGAGGGAATAAATTTAGGCATGCTAGTCTATCTATGTAAGTGTGGTTTTTTTGACCTCTTACTAGCTTTGTTGCCCGACGCTGCACTTTCTCCAGACATGTTGTGTCCTTTGTTAGCCATGGCTGCCATGCCTGTATGCCATACTCTAGGTGTGGTCGAACAAATGTACCGTACACTTTGCCAAAGAGATCTTCGTCGAAGGCTAGAAACGCCCTTTTGATAGCGTGCAGCACTCCCGTGGTTTTATTTGCAGATTTGACACATTGTAATGAGGGCTTCAGATTAATCTCTATCCAAATGCCGAGGTCTTTGGCCGACTAATTAACCCCTATATATTATTCTATGGCTTTTCTTACGCAAAACTGTGAAGTGCAGTCATTAGTAATTCTATTTACAGCCACTCCATCTTTGAATTTCACAACTTGTGAAACCTGTTAAAATATGCATTGTTTAGATCTTGCGTTGACGTGAAATCATGCAAACACCACGTTGTTATTCGTAGCCATAGAACCCTCATAGTCTCCTCTCTTAGTAAATTATTATGACAAAGTTCACTTGTCTGCATAGGCGCATTACCTCAGGCATGAGGCTGAAAATGCGGACGAATATACCTATTGTTCCAGTAGTTAGTTAAATTAATTTTCACATTTACGTGAAGGTAACTTCGTTCAAAGTCTACAGGCATAGACCAAAATTTGTTTTAAGTAGTTGGACTGCAATTTATCCGCCACTGTGGGATTACCAAGCAATATAGACACTAGTATAATTTTGGTAGCCCTTTGTTTTAGTTTTATTCATACAAACGTTTTTTCTACTTATTATATTTTTGACACACTTGCAGAAGGTGCATTTACCTCGACTTGTTTAGGCGCGTGAACTAAGTGTTATACGCAACACTTCAACTGCTGTAACTTATGGTATCAATAACTGACACTTAAACCAATGCTTTTGTTCTTCACTGGTCGGTGTAGGCAACTAATTGAGCCATAGCCTGGCGCTTTTGTCTGTGCTCGTACTTGGTAATTATTATTGATCAGTCTTACTCGCTAAATAACTTGCGCACGTCTTTATATTTCACGCCATCAAAATTGTGGGCCCAGGCGACGACCACACATCAAGGCAGATAAGAGAAGACTACATGTCAACCAACTCCTCGGTAAACAACCACATGAGTGTAGCTACCCTCTATGCTGTATTAAGAAAGTTCTTATCAGGGGACAGCGGAACAATCGGGGCCGCCAACCAGGTCTACGAGCAATCTGTCTAAACATGAGACAGGCTTCGACGAGACGCGGGGAGACGAAACGGGGGGGAGGGGACGAGACAACACGGATGAACAACGAGCGCAGGGAGACCAAGTAAACACTGACGCCACCGGTTACAGACATGCTGCGGGTGAAGGATACCAGGCGGTTGGGGCGGCCTGCGGTTACTACGCAGCACATAGGTCGATTCCAGGTAGCACAATGTGTGAATTGATCGTGACCCAAATAGTATTCAGCAAACGTCATTCATTCACACTAAGGCAGGGGTGGAGACGTACGTCAGAAAAGTTGCTTGTATATCAAAAATTTCATTTTAAAGTGGCAAGGAAATATTACAAAAAAATTAGACTATCGTGTTTATCTGGCTCATAAAGTCACCAGATCACAGCTCGCAGCAGCAGTAGTTGTTTCAAAATGCACTGAAAGTAATGCCTTTTAACCATGTTAGGGTGATTCCGTAGTGGACTTTTCCCGTTTTCTATAGGTTTCCACATTGGATTCCCACCGGGGTGCAACCAACTGGAACTCGTGGATGATATTTCGACCTCAGAGCAGCCGCTCGCGGACCTAATCCAAATCTGTCTGGCTACCCTTCTTGCTCTGGACGCTGACGTGCAGGGGGACGTGTTCAACGAAGGCATACCTCTTCGCCAGTTTTGTGCAGGGCACTGTCGCACCTTCAGTTCCATTCTCAAAGATGTGGGAATAGAGCTGGGTGTAGCAATCCTCCTTCCCAGGAAAACTCTGCAGCAGAACGGCAAATGTGTTTATTGGCGTCGGAACCCAGAACTTGTTCAGAGGTCTGAGCAACAGAGGGAATGCATCAGATTTGGTATAAACGCCATACCTAAGATAGGATGGGGCGAGTACACACATGTGTGTGAGTTTGATGGAGTAGTAACTAAGGTCAAGGTAGGGCCAGCCCCAGTTTTAGGCACTCAGTTTACGACTGCCGTACAGGTATTCAAGGGAATTTCTCGGTTCAATTAATTTTACGTAAATCTTGTCCCTCTGTTGACCTTCCTGAATGAGAATGTCGGGTTTAAGACTGCGCATCATTTCCCTTAGTTCTGGCCTAACCGCAATTTCCACCTTAATATCAATGTCATCATCCCAGGGGATAAGATCGTGGTGTCAAAATGAGCCAAGCAGGGTGCCAGCGTGGAGCATCCACCTGTCACTGAAACCGAGCTCCTCCATTGCAGCAATGAAGGTGCTGAGTAACTTCCGCTCAGGACGCATCTGTGCGCGGCTGAATTTGGCATCCATAGGCTCTTGACGACTTCCTGGCGCACCCAGTGGAGCAGGTAGATATGCCCTCTTCAGCCAACGTATGTTCTCCAGTTCCGGAAGTTTGCGGCGTTTCGCATCCAGGTGACAACTATCCAACACATAGGTCTGCCAGTCCAGTTGTTCATCTGTGCTTCTGAAAAGACCTGCATTGTTCATATCACGATATGCCATCCCAGAGATTGCAATCACTCAACAGAACTTAAGCAGTCTACTATAACGCATTTTAGCTGCAGATCTGGTGTTGCTTTCTGGCGCTTGTCAGGATAGAAGCAAAATATGTGCCCCTTGTGAGGGAGGAATCACTTGGGTACATAATGCACTCACTACCTACTTATCTTTCTCCGATTTGTTCCAATCAAAACTCACCTGGTGCGTAGGAGGGAGTGCCGCAAGGACAACGGTTTTCCCCTAGGCGAGTGTTTGGATTACTTTCGGCCTTATCTGCCTTTCTCACGAAATTAGAGGTTTGTGCGCACAGCTGTCACTCTGCACACTGTGATTTGTGCCTGACAGTTTATGCTAACGATTCTGTCGATAAATCACTGCGCATGTGTGCAACCGGCGAAGGTCATGTAACCACCTCCAGATAACCTCTTTTTCCTAGATGAACTGCCTTCAGCGTATGACATTCCAGCTGTGAACTGTGTTAGACCGGGAAACCGTGACTGCCTGCTGCAAACAGCCTTCCGCCTATTGACACACGGAGGTAAGCCCAGACACGTGTTTCACTGAGCGGTTTTCACAGCTGTATGAAGGAGCTGCGAGAGGATCGGCGTTAAACTGTCAAGTTTCCGGCCAAAATAGATCTACAACACGCCTCGAATAATTTGTGGTTGGAGCAAAGGGAGACAGTCGACTGAGTAGATTTAATAATAAGAAAGCCTTAGTTTGGAAAAAATGCCCTCCTAATTAAAATTATGGAGCGAAATAGGCACTAATTTTAGCTCAATCACAAAGAAATATCCAACGATATACGTACGACACAACTTCAATTTTTTGCATTGTGCGATGGAAGAATTCTAGAATGAGTGAAAATAGATGGAACATAATCCCTTCCAGAATTGGAAAATCTTGTCCGAAGGCGATCAAATGGAAGTGAAGCCAAGTTGAAGGAATCGAATCTATTTTCAGAAAAAAGCAAGAATTTAAGTTTTAAAAATCATGTTGAGCGAAGTTTTTTGGCACGAAAGGCAGTATCAAAAAAGTTTTTATTGGAAATTTTCTTTTATCGCACAGCTATCCATCCGCATTAGCAAGGTGTCGCACATTTTACCTCGAATTTAATGTAAAGACGACCTTATTGAATGTAAATCATGTAGAAATATTGTTTTTTATAAACTATAGGTATGGCCGGTTTTTTTATTCGCATGCTTACAACAGATCGTGGACTTAATCCAATTATGGGGAAAATAATCCATTATAAAGAAAAAAGTTATTTCAACCCCAATCAGACTGAATCGTTTATCTTCAAGCCAATTAAAGAAATTGCCAAAGGCCTTCCATTTTATTGTGACATTAACTTGGAAATCGTTAATATACATAGAAAGTTGTCAGCCGAATATCTAATCAAAGCACTTCATAAAGAGTTAACCTATTATGGAAAGTTTTTTATTAATCTTAGGAATAACAATATTTTGCGAAAATTCCCATGGAAAATTTCAGAAGATAAATTGGCGAACATACGTTGTTTTTCAATAAATTCTCATCAGGCCTTTACATCAGGCCCATGCAGAGTCAAATAGCACCTCACAGCCTCCGAGACACCTTCGAATTCGTGGACGGCGTAAAAGACCTCGACCTGAACCGGATGATGTTCTCACTTGATGTCTCGTCCCTGTTCACGAACGTGCCGGTCACAGAAAGTGTAGACTACATCTGTGAATTCGTTACCTTGACTCAGCACGACGTAGGAATGCCAGTAACTGCACTGAAGGAATTATTGCTAAAATGCACCTTGAATGTACAGTTCCTATTTAACAATAACCTGTACAGGCAATTGGACGGAGAAGCTATGGGCTCGCCCCTGGGCCCGCTTCTAGCAAATATATTCATAAGCAAACTAGAAGCTACGCAACTTAGCCACCAGATAAATAATCTTACGTACT